CACGCTGTTAGTCTTGTCCATCATGAGAGCGACCAGCTTTGTATCTTCCGGCCCAGCCAGGCAGCAAGGATGCAAGCGATTGGCGCGGGAGCGCGTCTCTACTACTTCACTGGACCTGAGTCACTTGGCAGTGGTGGACACTCTTATGGTCACTTTGTCCAAAGTGAAGAGCTATTCCAGCTCACGCCGGGGGATTATGTGCATAAGGAATTGACTAAAAAGATTTGTGGCCTGGCCGACCCCCGGATGGATCGCACAGTGCGGGCAGGTTTGATGGGGGTTGCGTGTGGCTCTGTCCAGCTTTCGGATAAGTCTAAAACTTTCATCAACTCCGTGCTGGGACGGCAAATCAAACGCCCCGATCTGGAGGCTTTTCTCCGGATACCTTCCGCTGAGAACCGGAGCATTGCCAGTCTCCGTGCTGACTGTACCCAAGTCCTCCTGACGGATGCCAAGCCGCATCTGGCTGATTTGCCGCCCCCGTATCATGAACTTGGTCCCACGATGAAGCTTGTTTTGGGTATGTGGCTCCCCCACCTGTCGTTAGAACGCCTGGTTGACATGCTGGGTTATCAGTTTTTAGCCATGGCCTCGGAAGCAGAAATCGAGGAGGAGCCCTCGGAACAGTATCACTACCCAGAGCAAGCTGCGGTCAAGCGGGCCGCCACCCCTGTGGCGATAAAGCCCGGCACGCATACGTGGCCAATCTGCCTTCTCCATCGAGTTTACCCACGAGCGTCGGTCATGCTCCTTACACCGGAGTTGGCGGATGTCCCTGACTGGGCTACAAAGTGGTTTGCTGTCGCTGGTAAAGTGCCGGCCAAGGGCACTGCTTTGCTGGTTACCTTGAGAGAAGACAAGGGAGATGTGGCCTACCCAGGCATGTTTATAGAGCTCCTTGCCCCGAAGAAGCTTTCCACCGGCCCTGGCGAAAGTAAGGCCATGCAGCCAGTCAATATAACCATTGCCCTGCTCTTGACTGATGAACAGCACAACCAATTCGCGCAACGACCCTCATTGCCGAGAGTCAGCCAGCTTGAAGTTCTGCCCGGAGGAGCCTCTACCCCGCTTTGGGATGCCCTGTTACACATGCCTAGGGAAAGGCAACATGTTGCATTGGGCGTTCCGCTAGAAGACTCGCCTCTTGATGCCATCCGGCAGCCACATTGGTTGCCGGGCTTTCTCACGGATCTAGTGCTTGTCCTCATTATCGGGCTGGTGGTGAGAGGGAACTGGCACGACACATGGGCACAGCTCATTCACCCGGAGGTCTGCCAAGTCTTCAGAGGCAAGCACGCAACGCAAGCTGCGCAGGCATCGCCTACTGCGGGTCCGGGGGCTTCCAACACCTTGCAAAGCATCCTTAACCTTTGGCTTGCGGAGGAACAAACCTATCGCAAAGAATGGACGCCGACGCTGCTGAGTGGCGTGTTAGCCACGCTGCCTGACTCTCCGCTGCCCGGCCAGGAGGACGCCCGGACTCCTGCGCTGTGGCATGCGGAGCGTCTACGCATGTCCCAGGACTCGTTGAGTAACGAGCACGATCCGAGGACTCGCGCCAGCATCTTTGCGCTCGCAGTTGGTCCCGCCTTCCTTACGTGCCTCTGTGATACCTTTTGGGGGGCGGATGGACACCTGGCAGCGCTGCTGGGAGCGTGCTCGTACGGCCTGGCCGCTAATCGTACTTCTGTATTCATAACGGGGGCGCCTGGCAGCGGGAAGACACGATCCTGCGCGTTTCTAGGAGTTCTTCTTGCGTGCCTGACGAACCGGCTCACCCTGTACACCGCTCATGGCAATGAATCGGTTCGTGCCTATGTCGAGGCGGTTGATAGGCTCACGACTGCTAGCAATGAATTTGTTCGCAGCCGCATCGTTCGCATACCGGGTAACAAGGAGAAGGACACACATAAGCTCCCCTTTGATGTGCACGATTTGTACCGGGGGCTACTTGTAGCCACGACGCATGGTACGATTGTGGCAAGGCTTAGCTTTCCCTACTCGCAGCTCATTAACCGTCTAAAGGATGTTGAGTTGCTCCTCCGAGATGAAGCCCAGCAATTGGGCACACCGGGTTCCAACACCATCCTGGCGCACATCAAGCATGCACTCGATGTCATGATTGGCGACCACAGACAGCCCGCTGGAGGATCGCGGCCCAATTACCACTTCGTCACGGAGTTGTTGGAGCAAAAGATTTGTGGTCTCAATGCGGTCCCTGCCGACCTCCACACGCCAGCCACCTTGCCTGCGGCCCTTTTGCGGCAAACGGCCCAAAGTTCCAGCCCGTGGAAAAAGGGGCAAGGCGAGATGCCCTCTTGGGGCAAGCCCCACCGTTCCTCTGGAGCGTCAGAAGTGTTGTTCTCAGCGGTCTCGATGCTGGATTCGATTCTCTGTATGAGCATCGTCAAACCGAAGCAAGCCGAGACAGTCATGCAGGCCGCCGGGCTGAAGGCCATTGTCGGACCGGCTATCAACCTCTCGCTCTGTTCATCCATGCGCCTCCCTCCTGAGATTGCTGCCATTCTATACGCATGTCGGTACTCGGAGGCGTGCCGCTTCGATCTGACAGGCGGGGTCCCTCGGCTACTTATGCCACCTGGTCCCACGATGCAGCACCTGCTCGGGCGGCCACTGCGTAGCTTTGCAGGCAGGTGGATGGAAACGTGCCGATGGGTACGGGTGCCAGATCAGGATGAGACCCAAACCAAACTAGGCAGAAGCTACGACCTCAGCATGGTCCTGGCGGACATTGTGCTCACTTTTGGGCACCAGGTTTATCCTGACTCCCCTATCGGGATGGTCTCTCAGTATGCCAGGATTGTTACTCAAATGAAGTTTATGCTGCAGTCGAGTCTCCCCGCAGACCCACTGGGCGATGACGATATGAGCCTACTTGAAGCCTGCCAAACCGCGCCAGATTTCCCGCTGACTGGCGCGCCCACCACTTGGAGCCTTGTGACGTTTCGGACCTTCCTCATGAATCACATAGGGTCCCTTAAACGCTTCTTCGGCGCTATCACCACGGCTTGCTCCACTGGCCCCACATTTGGGATAGGTGTCTTTGTGACTTGTCGGGCTTCTGGATTCCTGTTTAGTAGCGAGGCAGGGTTTGCCCGAGCCACCTCCTCCTTCACGAGAGGACTTGGGGCTTTGGTTTTCGTGGCACCGCACGACTCTGATGGTATAGGTGCCTGCTTCCAAATGGCGGCCTGCGCAACCGGAGGCCTGATTGAATGCGCGGAATATGTGCGCACACAAGCCAGCTTGTGGAGCATGGATGGCCCTGGCGTTGCAAAGGCGTTACACAAGCAAGCCTTCCGAGAACGGACAGTAGCCAGCATCGTGCTGCCTGCGGAACGCAAAGTAGGGCTGGACCTCTTTGAAGCCCCACCCCTGCATCAAGCGTGGGCCTTGAAGGCCACCTGGGGAGATAAGCGGGAAGTTCTTTACCGCACACTGGGGGAGCCCCTCTTTCACTTCCAACTCCTACTCGGGCACCATTGCTAGTCTGCAAACGCGCGGCTTCGTCCTGGAGCCCTTGCCCAATGCTGTGTATTGTGTCCCTTCCAGCCGGTGAGGGAAGGAGATGGGGTCGCCCAGTACCTCACCTGCTTGCTAGGGGATACCAGCATTAGGACGCCGCCCAAGCGGGGATCTGCTCAACGCGCTGACCCGGCTTTCGAACACAAGGCCGGCGTAATGCGAGCCCCCCGCGGTCTTCACCTCCTACCTGTTCGTACGGGTAAGGCTGCCTCCGAAACTGCGATTGATGTGGACTCTCCGGGAAACAGCCCTGTGCCCGCGGGTAGTCACAGTCCCGACGTGGTAGCTGCTACTGCAGTCGAGGTTCTTACGCCGCTGCAGTCACCAGCCCAAAGCGAGGCTATCACCAACGCGCGCCATGGTGAGCGGTGGGGTACACCATGGCTCAGCCTCGGGCCGCGGGGGGCTCCATTGCGGCAGCTGTCAGCCCACCTCCGGCAGCTAAACGGGACGTTTCCCGAACACCCTGCGGCACCCCAACGCGGGAGAGAGGACCACTGAAGAAGGAGCCTGCAACGACAGAGCCTGCGGTTGTGCCGGCCGTGAGTCCTAGTGCTCTGGATGCTTGTGTGACGACTCCCTCTAGTGAAGTTGCCCACAGGATCGGAGGGAGTAGCGCCGCCTCGTGTCCACCCCGTAGTGGAGGCAACATTAGGGACCCACCGCCTGGCGTACGACGTCCACCCAGCCCCCGGACACGGCCCACGCACGCCACATTTCCGGAGGGGATTAGGACGGTTGAGGCATCACAGCCCCCTTGCGCTAAGTCTCCCACGGACTCACTTGGCCTGACGGAACCAAAATCGTATCTCCCTATGCCTCCCCATGGCCCGACGCCCATCCCCGCCAGGCCTGTGCCCGCTGTCCAAGCTCGCAAGGAAAGTCGGCCTCTCGTCTTGTAGTGCACACTGTGTCCGGCATAACGCATTGTTTGAAGGATCAAGCCAACTTGTGGTGTGGCCGACCTCTCTCGAGGAACCATATTCCTTTCAGTGAGGCGGGGGTGTACTTTGAGGACCCCGACCCCTGTAAACAATGCCGGCACATTTTGGAGGCTGCAGAGTGATCGAAATCTTGAAGGAAAACGAGTGCATTCATCCTTGTGAACAGCACAGACGATAGATCCTTCAGCCATTCTCAGGCGTCGCACCGAAGTCTGACAATCGGTGATGTCGCTCCCACTCGAACGCAAGTCGAGATCTTTGAGGGAGGACAACTGATGCCTACTCCAGCTGACTCGAAATCTTTATCGAGAATCACCCAGCTGTGGGAGCCGAGGCTTCATTCACCGTCAGAGCACTTCGGAATCACGGTCATGATAAAAGCATGGGGTTCTGCTCTGGGAAACCGCGGACACGTTTGACTGTCTTGCAATACCCATCTTGTCCGAAGTCGAGCTTTGGGCTTCAACCCGACAAGGAGCGAGGTTGTCCCGACTTGCTAGGAGTCGAGCCATGGCGGGAATCGCGGTGGACAGCGAGGCCTGGTTTTTGGAGAGATGCCAGAAAGTCAAACTGAGCGAAGCCACCATTCGCACCCTCATCGATGCGGGCTTCAAGAGCTTCGGGACCTTGGCTTTTGCTGTGTCAACCACACCGACGCAACTAGATGAAGCCGATGTGAAGCGTTGGATAGAAAGCATTTTCCCCCATGACTTCCCGCCTGATCAGTCCTCTAAAGTGAGACGTCTGATGTTTGAAGCCCAGAACCTGAGCGTGGCCGACATGAGGGCACGCGTGGAGCCTGCCGCTGACACAGCGGTGGTTCGTGCTATGCCCAATGCGGAGCGATTGGCTCGCCAGGAAGCCTTGAAGAAGAGGGTCACGGGCCTCATTCTCTCACCTGAAACCTTGCCTGCCCATGCTGTCGTGGATACTCTCGTCAAACAACTGGAGGATGGAGTCCTTCAGTACTTGCCAGCCTACCGCATCATCAGCCGTGCCCAAGAAGCTCAGCAGTTGAAGAGAGACCAGCAGGTGGTGGTTGATGGCGAAGGGAACTTGAAAATGGCTAGCAAAGCTGAGTCCGCCACTTGTGACACGCACACTGACTTGGCTCTGCGCAATGCTTGGACCCGTCGCTCGCTGGCCTATGATTTGGCGGGTCTCTGCAGCTTTCAGGTTCTTGAGGAATGGTGTCACAAATGCTTCCTGGCCTTGATGAGGCCTGTGCCCAGTGGTTACTCCAAGGTAACCACTCATCAACTCATTGCTGCCGACAGGCACCTGTTCACGCTGGCCTCGCATGCCCTCCTTGGCAAACTCGCCGGCGAGCCCGGCCGCGAGAAGCCTCTGGAGACCCAGATCAAGCTGTTGTCCGAGTCCCAAGAGGTTTTGCAGTACCTAAATGCTCTCCCTACTCCTCCTCCTTCTGCGCCCTGGCCAGGCAAGCGCAAATGGGATGACCCAAAAGGGGGTGAGAAGGGCGATAAAGGGAGAGGTAAAGGTAAGGGCAAGTCGTCTAAAGGAGAGGCTCGCAAGGAGTTCACGGTGCCCGACGGCTGTGTGAGCCGCGTGAACGACAAGCCTGTATGCTTTGCCTTTAATCAAGGAAGGTGCCGCTTTCGAGTCAACTCCAAGAACCGTTGCGGCCGTGGTTTCCACATCTGTTGGAGAGCCGGGTGTGGAGGCGACCACCCTGGCCATCTGTGTACCAAGGGATCTTGACTCCGGGCGGAGGGCTCCATCCTACTCCCGGAGCCCGCGCCGCTCACCCCGCATTGTGTCACGCCCATGCCTTTTGAGGCCAACTCCGTTGGTTTAGATCCCGAAGCCCTTGCCGAGCAACTGCTTCGCAAGCCAACCTTGGCGGCCTTTGATGTTTGATGTTTTGAGAGTTTTCGACTTGTTACCCAGGAATCCATCTAAACGAGATGCCTTCCATCGCCGGAGCTTTGGTTGCGGCGCCTGGGTGTTCGGGTCCCAGATCGGAATTCGTACTGACACTAAGTCTTTTCCAAAGAGCGCCGCTCTCTTTTGCCGCTATGTTCACCAAGTGAATCCTCATCACACCTTTTCCAGCTTAGTCTTGCTTGATGATGTTCAAAGTCCGCTCCATGTGGACTGCAATAGCGACCGCTCTTCCTGGAATCTTGTCATCCCCTTGACCAGGTTCCGCAATGGCCAAATCTGGGAAGAATGCGAAGGCGGGGCTGACCGCTTTGAGGACGCTTCAGGCACTTTCTGGGGGCGTCTGCATGAGGTATCCGCAGAGCCAGTCTTGCTTCATGCCGCAGTGAACCGCCATGCTGTTTTGCCTTGGCAGGGCCGCAGGGTTGTGCTGATTGCCTTCACCCCCAGGGACAGTCCTAAGCTTCCCCCTCCCGACCGTGACTGGCTACGCTCACTTGGCTTTCGCCTACCTTCCTCGTCCGCCTTGACCATCCCTGGCCAAACCAAGCTCTTTCTCGAGGTCTTCTCAGGCTCCGCAACCCTGGCTCGAGCCGCCCAGAGGCTCGGGTTCACTGCCGTTGCCGTCGACAACTGCCCCCGGCGCCCTCAGGTTCCTACGGTTCGCCTTGACCTTGCTTCCAGTCTGGGCCGCGATGCCTTGTTTCGCTTGTTGAGTGATAAAAAGCCTGCCGCGGTGCACCTGGGCCCCCTTGTGGCACCTCCTCTCGGGCCCGTGAGCGGCCCTTGCCGGCAAGGTTAAAAGCCCTCGGCCTCCGTGACCCTCGGCCGCTTCGGAGTGCCGACTTTCCCCTCGGTTTGCCTCACATCGACCCTGCAAGCGATGATGGTTTGCGCCTGGCCGCCGCCAATCGTCTTTATGACCTGGTCTTTCATGTCCTACTTTGGTGTGCTGAGCACGATTGTGTCTTCACTCTCGAAAACCCCACGAACTCGTGGTTCTGGAGTGTGCTAGCCTTGAAGGTCCGACAGCACGCTTCGCCCAAGGTCCGCCGATGGTTCACTGACTTGCATGAGATCATCTTCGACGCGTGTGAGCACAGTGGTGCTCGCCCAAAATCCACCAAGCTGCTCAGCAACCGGGATGCCTTTGGATGCCTTCGTGCCCGCTGCAGCGGCCGTCATGTGCATGAACCTTGGGGCGTCAGCTGGCGCGCTGGAGGTTGGGTTTGGTCCACTCATCTCGAGGCGCAGTATCCTCTTGTGTTGGCGGCTCGATGGGCTGCCTGCTTTGCGTCTGCTTGCGACGTTTCCCCTGGCCTTCCGGAAGCCCCCGACCCTCGTTTGCAGGCTCTGTCAGCCGTGGGTCGCCAAACCCGTAAGCATAAGCCCTTGGTTTCTGAATACAAGTTCGTGCGCATAATGCCGCGCGGCAAGATTCCCTCCTCCGGTTGCAAGGTCCTCGGCGCGCCTCCCGTGCAAGGGGGTGACTCGGGGGAGGCCGCCGAAGTTTTTCCTGAAACTTCTCCAGACAGTGAGGGGCTTGGTTTGGATAGGGGTGAAGATTGCCAGGTTGGATTCTACAGAGATCCTAGTGAGTGGTTCCAGGCTGCCAAGAAAGTGTGCCACCCTCTTGACTCCGAGAACGAACTCCCAAAGGAGCTGAAGGCTTCCCTTGAGGCCAACATGGTTGCTGATCGCCGGGCCCTCTTTCTTCGTCGAAAACTCGCACTGATGAAGGCAGAGATCCTTGCCAAAAAGCTGGAACAAGACGAGAGCAAACTTCACTCAGCTATGCCGTCGTGGATGCAGTCTGTGATGCAAGGCAAGAAGATCTTACTCCTGGAATCATTGTTGCGGCAGCACAACTTTGACGACATGGAGGCGATAGAGCTTCTAAAGTCGGGTGTGAGGTTGTCGGGTGTATCCGAATGCCCTGCGGCCTTTGACGTCAAAGTGAAACCTGCTACGTCTACCGAAGCTGAGCTACGTCAAGTGGCTCCCTTGAAACGAGCAGCGTTACTTCTGGAAAATCGTGTCTCCGACCCAGAGCTCGAACGCGATTTGCTGAAGGTGACTATGGACGAGGCAAAGGCTGGATGGCTTCAGGGGCCGTTCAGCAGTGAAAAGGAAGTTTCAGAGCACTTGGGAAGGTCGGATTGGAGTTTGATGCGAAGGTTCGGCGTTCGACAAGGAGGCAAACTGAGGCCGATTGACGATGCCTGCGATTCCGACTTGAACAGCACTTTCACCAGCGCCATGAAGCTAAAGTTACAGGACGGTGACTTTTGCATCTCTTTGGCTATGGAAATTGCAAAGCGCGTAGTGGGTAAGCCGGGAGTCGTGCCTAGAGAGTGGAGTGGCCGATGCCTCGATCTAAGTGGTGCTTATAAACAGATGGCAGTTTGTGAGCAACATCGGAGCTTGTGTGTTCTTCTTCTGCGTGATGCCGATGGCCACCCAATCTTTTTCATTTCTTCAGCATTGGTTTTCGGGGCCTCAGCTTCAGTCTATGCCTTCTTAAGAATAGCTCGGGCCTTGAGCTTCTTATTGAACGTCGTGCTGGAAATCCCTCATGCAAACTTCTTCGACGACTTTCCAATCCTTGTGCCTTCGGAAGATGCCGAACAGGTGGGCCTCTTATGCACAAAGTTCCTGCACTTGTTGGGTTGGAAACATGCCGAAATCGGTGAGGGTCACAAAGGCCTTCCCTTTGCGAAATCCTTTGACGTGCTGGGCTTGCATCTCGACGTCTCTTGCATATCTTCAGGGATTTTGACGGTGGCTAACAAGCTCGGCCGGGTTGACCGACTCCTTGAGCGCCTTCGAGAGATCCAAGAGTCAGCGGTCCTCAGCCGCCACGAGGGCCAGGTCCTTCTGGGCCTCTTGCGATACGCGGCTGGGTTCTTCGGAGGCAGAACTTTACGCTATGTCTGTGAGGATTTGAATGCCATAGTACATCATGGACATCACCCTTCCCCTGTTGCGGTCAAGATGCTTTGTCGACGCGCCATAACTGCATTGGAATCGTCCAAGCCCCTCCAGCTCAAGGCAGACATGCCGAGCTCTCCGGTGCATCTCTTTACAGACGGTAGCTGGGAAAAAGGTGTGGCCGGAGTTGGGGCTGTGTTTTTCGACTCACACGATGGATCTGCAGAAGTTTATGGAGGCGAGATGCCAAAGGACATGGTCGAATCGCTGCAACAGACAGATGGTGATCACTTGATTGGACAAATCGAAACCTACGCTGTCGTGGCCATGCGGATACACCTGGCTCATCGTTTTTCAGGACGCCGGGTGATCATTTGGACAGACAATGAAGGCTGTCGCTTTGGGCTCATAAAAGGCCGCTCAAAATCCCACACGATGGACACGTTGATCAGGAGCTTCGCTGCTGCCGAGGATGCCAATCCAAGTCATACCTGGATATGTCGTGTGCCGAGTTACTCGAACATCGCTGATGGGCCTTCTCGGGGAAAGCCTGAGGAGGCCCTGAGAATTTCGGGAGCTGCTGCGTGTCAGTCTTTTCCATGGATTCGGCAAGCATTCGATCTTACCTGATAGCTCTCTTAAATAGGGGGTATTTCGGGAGAGCAGGAAATCGCGAAATCAGATCGCATCCTGTACATGCTTGCCCCACGACTGAAGAAAAAGCGCGTCAGTGTAACCGAATGATTCTTCAACACATATATGTGATTGAGTTTCACATGTGTACATAGAAGATGGAATTACTTTTGAGATTTTACAAGATAGACCTTTTCACTAAAACTTATTCCAATCATGAGGAATAAATTGTACACAGATTGCGTTCTAGATCTTTTCCTATAAAACCCCAACTTTTGTGAGAGGGAAAATTTCAGCTTGCCTGACATTTCTCTCTCAAACTAAAGTTGTAGCGCTGTACCTTCGAGCGCGGGGTTTTAGAGATCTTTTGTGACCTTTGGGAGTTGCAGAAATTATTTTAAGTTTTCAAAGAATTTTCCTCAGCGTCTTGAACGAGTTTTTCAACTGTGTGACTTGCAGCATGCTTGAATCAACAGTTGCATTCATGTGGTTAGCTGCTCGAGCTCGGGCTGAGAGAAAATTTTTGTCCCTCCCACCCACCCGTCTCAATGTTGGGTCTGGGGGTGTTTCGGGAGAGCAGGAAATCGCGAAATCAGATCGCATCCTGTACATGCTTGCCCCACGACTGAAGAAAAAGCGCGTCAGTGTAACCGAATGATTCTTCAACACATATATGTGATTGAGTTTCACATGTGTACATAGAAGATGGAATTACTTTTGAGATTTTACAAGATAGACCTTTTCACTAAAACTTATTCCAATCATGAGGAATAAATTGTACACAGATTGCGTTCTAGATCTTTTCCTATAAAACCCCAACTTTTGTGAGAGAGACGGCTCTCAGCATCTGGAACCACCAAAAGCCAAGCCTCGAGGGCCTAGCGAGCCCAGCGGCACCCGCGACCCCAGCGCCCCAGCCTGTGCACCCATCATGCAGAGCAACACAGGCTCGGTCTGTGATCTCATGTGGCGCGCACTTGCAGCGGGACATCACTTTGGTAAGAATGTCAAACCTCGGCCCTACATGAGCCTGCGTGACTCGCAACACCTCACAACACACTGCCAGCAGCTTCGGGCATATAGGGCCTATGAGATGTTTTTGAACGGCATACCGAACCAGCTGCAAGACTCGGAGATGCTGATCGGAATTGCGGACACGCTACTGCATCTGCCTGAAACGTTTCCGGCGGCGTATTTGAAGGTTTATGACCCTATCATCACGCAGTGTCTTAGACTGTCGGGGGCATTGCAGCATTTCGACCTTGCTGAAATGTTGGATTGCCCGGTTCCGCAGCTGGACAAAGCAAGGCTTTCGGAGTCCCTGGTGGGGTATGGCTTTCTTACCACAGCGCAGTACATCGCGGATCTTTTCTCTGCGGTGTCGGAAGCGAGTGTCATCAATGCCAGTTTTCCTGCAATGCTCAGCTACGCTGACCCAGATTATTGGCTGGGTGCACTTCTGCTCGCATTCGAGTCCCACCAAAAAGGTCCCCTGGAGCGAACGGCCGGGCTGCCCATTGTTATTGGTTTTCCTGAATCTGACAATAAAATTACTGACCTGCAGATCAATGTGCCGCCCGCAGCCATGGTGGCCTTCTTAGCTGGCCGCGCTTATCGGTGTCCCAAGTGCCCTACTACCAAATATGTGATGGACGCGCACAGTGGACTGCCACAAGTCACTGGCCAAGCCTCCCAAGAAGCCTTGCAGGCATGGGCCGCAGCTGCTAAGCACACGGACGTGGAAAAGGCCAGGCTTGCCCAGCCCAACCTGAATACGTTCCTAGGCATCACGCTGCAGGGCACAGAGACACTTGGGCAAAGGCACTATCAAGAATTTAGGCCGGACCTCCCCCCCTGCCCATTTCCTTGACGCCATCCGGCTTGCCCTTGCGGCCTCGGTGGCCAACCAAAACATTGAACACTTTTGGTCAGTTTATAACTTGGAATGGCCTGACACTTCTCACAGAATGGCTGTTTTTCTACGGCGAGTGTTGCCCCTAGAGTGCTTGCTCTCCTCGCCCTTGGCTGCGCCTGTGGAAGTGAACGCTGCGGCAGCCTCGCCGGAGGTCGTCAGCATCTCTTCTGAAACTAACGAAGGTTCTCCCTGCCCGATGGATGACATGTCGGATGCGGAGGACGAACCAGGCACAGGTGAATGATTGGCGCTTCTCGGAGCTGCGAACCAGCAGCTTTGCGAGAAGTGGATGTCTCAGCCCCTTTCCGACTGCCAGTCATCTTCGATGCGCATTGGAAAGGGATCAGCACCACACCCACCAAGCATGGGCCAAAACGTCCCCGAAATGAGTGGTATGACGCAGCCACTGCTCACTGGGCTGCCATTAAGGGGCTCATGCGAGCTAAACATCCAACCAAGCAGCGACTCAACAGCTTCTGGTTTAAGATGTACTGCCATGGCACCTCCAAGGACCCTGATCCTTCGGCCCTACGTGCGGCAGTTACCTCCTTCCCCTATCAGTATAAGGACGAAGGTGTTGTGCAGTACCGGCAAATCCAGGAAGCTGTCCGGGTGATGTGGCTCGCGGCCCAAACCTCAATGACAAGATACAGAGGTATCCCCATTCCGGACGGCATCCCTGAGTGGGGGGTTGATGAGCAAGAGCTGCCTCCAATGCAGGTCATGCCCAGCCGTACGCGTTCCCATACCACCTCAGATGGCCATCGCTCTCGGCGTCCGGACTGGGAGGGCTCCTGGCAATAGACAGCAAGCTGTCATCTGAGGGCTCCTACTGACGCCATGAACGCGCCATTGAGTCCTTTCATGGCATGCTGCCTAGCGTGATGTGAGCCCTCACATCTCCTCGCCGATACATGCCGCAAGACTACCTCGGGATATTCTTGGTTTGGCAACCCTCTCGTGGTCTATGCCACGGATTGGATCGTGCTTGTCTTCTGTGTGCTCACTGCCTGCACCTGTGAACACCCTTCTGTGTCGGCCCTGCGTTGTGCCTATGGTGATGGGGGGCCTTTCTTTCGTGGTTGCTCCACTGGCCATCTGCCACGGACTGCCCTGGGCCGGTCCTGCCTGGATGTTCCAGCTCTGTCATCCGTAAAACGGCCAATCTTCCTTTCCTCTGCCCCCTCTAGGTGGGCAGGTTGCCTGCTTCTATGTGCTACGATCAAGTGTGAACCCCTCGGACTAGAGGGTTGACCATCTCTCGTCTGGAAGGTGACACCCCCCTTGGCGTACAACGACGTCATGCCTATTGGGAGAGACCAGCTAGGGGATGCTGCTTCCGGGTTGTGGACACTCCTATGCGGAGATCAGGTTTCCACTTCCCTGGCAATGTGCCATCGAGCACCTGTGAACAACCTGGCCTTCACGAGAGCCATTCTCGCCTGTGCTTGGGTTGCTACGGGGTTCCCTGCCTGCTTGGTGTCTATCTCTGCTTGCGTCAAAGCAGCCATACATGACTACCTCCCCATCGGTAGGTGGCCAAGCGTGATGTGAGCCCTCACATCTCCTCACCGACGTCTGTCAGTTTGGGCATGGACGGGCTGATTCTGGGTATTGAACCCTCAACCCTCACCGGCCAAGGAGATAGTGGCTTGGCCTTGAGTGCGAAGTTTCGACTGGGGGATTCTCCCGCTTCCTGCGGGGCAGGTGGGGTCCCCGCCTGCTTTGGTTTGCCTGATGGCTCTGAGTGGAACGAAGCAGTCAAGCCTGCTTTGGCCGGCGGACGAGCTCTTGTGAGTCAAAAGAACGTTGCGCTTTGTGCTCGGAGAGGCTCCACTGGCTGACCACCATGGAGTACTCTGGGCTGGTCCTACCCCTTTGTTCTTGCCGTTAAATCCCCACTGGCTGACCACCATGGGGCAACTTTATACTTCGGAACACGAAGGTTGACACCTACAACGTTCCGTGCTGAGGCACGAATTTGCTCCACCTGTGATGGCGAAACTGTGAACCTTCTCGTGAACGGCCTTGGCTGGTGCTGAATGTATTCGCATTGGTGGCTGCATGATGGTGATGTGAGCCCTCCCATCTCCTTACCGACGTACCTCGCGGGTTTGGGTGAAGGGACCTGATGCGTGCCGATGCGCAGGCCAGTGCCAAAGTGGCGTAGCCTTGTGTGAGATGCCTGGACTGGGAGGTCCCTCGGTGTCATTAAAACCCTGTGGCGTTAAGGGTTTGGTAACTCGCCGTGGACTCTCCCCGTGGAATCGGTAGCTGCTGCTACTCTCGCCCCCCCTCTGACCGTGCGCAGGCACCTCTGAGGGTGGGCCCTTGTGCGCCAGGTAATCGGTAGCTGCTGCTACTCTCGCCCCCCCCTCTGGCCGTGCGCGGGCACCTTTGAGGGTGGGCACTTGTGCGCCAGGTTGACTGGTGAACCCTGTGCTCGGAGCTACTCCACTGGCTGACCACCATGGAGTGCCCTGGGCCGGTCTTGCCTGGATTGTTCTTGCTGTTAAATCCCCACTGGCTGACCACCATGGGGCATATGCACATCTTTCATCCCCCCTTGGGAGTCTGACTTGCAACATCCTTTCGCCATTGAGTGTTGGTTGTCTTTCCTTGACAACGATTAAGCGATCCGAACCTCGTCTGATGACCTCGGGTTGACTAACCGCTGTCGCACCAGTGGCTACATGATGGTGATTTTGTGAATCTGGCAATGTCGCATTTTGCGAATCCCCCACAAGCTCTGTGCTTCCTTGTGCACCGGGACTTCATTGACGACCTCGAGTACTGAGTCCGTGGGGTATCTAGTAGTTTAGCGCGATTGCTCGCTTTGTTTCTTCGGTGTCTGTTCTTTGGTGGTTTCGTGTTGTGTCTGGCGGGTTGTGTGCGCTGACTCTGTTTCACCCTTTTCGTCGAGCCCAACAAGACCGGCCTACTGTGCTACTGATGTAGTAAAGAGGCGCCAGTCCAAAAAAAAAATGAGTATGAAGCGGGATGCTGTTGCTGCGAACCTTGATAAGGGCACGAACCGTGAATCCAGGGCCCAATGGTTGGCAGTGATGGTCACCAATGTTCC